TTGTCTTACCCAGTTTGTGAAACTGGGATTTATAGCTAGATCTGTGGAGTTTGGGCTAGTAGTGAATTTTTCTGGGATAGGAAGCTCTCCTGTGATGTAGCCTTGCAAACCATATCCTCTCATGGCAGCAAGAGCTTGTTGTTCCCAGATTAAATAATTCCCTTCATTCAACTTGACAGATATTAGCTGACTTTGCAGCTGGATCAAGTTTTCTCCAACACCTGATATTGGTAAGATTGCTGCCATGATGTGATAACTGAAATGAAAGATGAAAGGAGACTAAAGAAATGGAAGGAGAAAAGAAGTATGCAGAGACAGGCTAGCCTGCTCTGATACCATAAAAGCTTATCACCAAAATAGACAAAAATAAGCAATGCATGATAAAGGGAGAAATATCCATTCTCGTTTCAAAATTCTCAGATCTACTTTTTCATTGATGTTGCTTGATACTGCAGCTACATGGGGAAGACAACCGAGTATATAATAATCATGTGAGTGTGTGGTTTGTACATGTGTCAACAATCCAACGGTTCTCTACTAACATACTAAGGAAACCCTAATATCAAGTGAGATTTGTCTCATTAGAGGAGACAGCTTGCATGGGCAGCTTTCCATCTGCATGGTCCCATTTTCTGGCCAGCTTGGACATCTTTGACCGTTCCAAATGGTTTAAACATCTTGCTTCCTTAATAAATCCCACAAAAATGGTGTTAACATTCAAGTGGGTCAAACTATTCGAACAACACCGTACTTTTTATCGTTGGATCACACACCAATGCTATTATGGCGGCAAACAAAAATCTGTCCATAGCTACCACCATAATCTCCATCATTCACAAATTTAACATGACGGATTGTCAAATTTTGCCATGGTGTGACGCCACTTGATAACACTGACACATACACACATGGTGTGTGTCAATCTATATAGAAAACTGTTGAGGGTAGAGTTGTTATTGAACCGAACCGAACCGAGCTTAAAGTTTTTCGAGTTCGACTAATTTCCGAACATATTCGTGCTATCGTTTAATAATCGAACAAAAATTTTTGTTCGTCTATTGGTCGACACGTTCATGTTCGTTCGTTCATATAGTCGAACTTGTACATGAACTGTTCAAATTGTTCGACAAGTTTGCCTTCGTGTTTGTTGACATTTTTTTTAATTTTAATACTATACAATTAATTTTATTTAATATTTAATATGTATATCCATATTTATATAATACTATATGTATACTTTATATAATATTTTAATATTTAATATATATCCATATTTAT